GCGAGCAGCATCCACGCACAAAGTTGCAAACACAAAAAATACCCACTCTCCTACACACACACACACACACACACACACACACACACACAGACAGACAGACAGACAGACAGACAGACAGACAGGAGGAGAGCCATGCCATTTCCCTTCACAGGTGAGCAGAAGAAGGAAACACCCCGGTGCTTCGGTTACTTAGTGGGAGAAAGTGAGGAGTTGTAGGGTGGGGGGTAGAATGTATGCTGTATGCCGACTGAATCTTTTCCACATGACGGGCCTCGGGCTGTTTTTGTCAACTGCACTCTTGAGCAGCAAGGAGTCAGGTAGTGTGACCACATGATTGCCCAAGAGGCACTATGGTGAGAGAGGCAGAAATGGGGAGAGAGAGAGGGAGTGAAAGGGAAGACAGCAGCAGAGAGTGGGAGAAGGATCGGGGGGCCGGGGACAGGACCGATGCAGCACGCATGATGAGGTGTAATCACAAACCCCATTCAGAGTGCAGTGGAGTTTGTCAACATACACACATTCACATTCCACTGTCTGTCAGTTCTATGACCCAAATCGAGCATGCTGTGTGAGTGTGTGTTTTTTTACACACACACACACACACACACACACACACACACACACACACACACACACACACACACACACACACACACACACACACGGATGCTTTCTGCCCATTTCGCCTCCAACCAGGTAGCAACGGTTGCACTGTCTGGGCTTGTGGTTTGTGGTGGGGAAGTCAAATTCCAAGCGCTTGTAGGATTTCACTGCTGCCTGTATCCCTTTTCAACCCGCGATCAAGTGATCATTATGAACAAAGGACTTGGCTAGTTGCCTCTGGAGTAAAAGCTTTTTCAGTGGCTGTGACCGTGTGGTTTGATTTGAAACTTTTAAGAGAGAGAGAGAGAGAGAGAGAGAGAGAGAGAGAGAGAGAGAGAGAGAGAGAGAGAGAGAGAGAAAGTGCACTACAGTGGAGGAAAGCACTCATCTCATGAAGGAATCTTAAGAATGTTACATTAAAGACCATACAAATGTGTCAATTTCATAAAAAAATAAACTGAATGAAAAGGTGTTTGGACACATTTAATTAAAACATATTATGCAATGAAATGTATTCTGAATGAATTTGATGCTGTTGTCATTCCATGTAAATACGCATGAAACAAAATCTCATATACATAACATGGAACAGAACAAATAATCTCATTTACATTTAAAAAAACCTTTGGATATGATTAGTTAAACAATGAAAGTCTTATTTCACCACAGGAAGCCAAAATCCCATTGTCACAATTTCTTCTGAGGTTGATATACTACAATAACGGAAATGTGTTTCCCAGAAACCAATTTCTCTGGATAACATACAGTATGTGACAATATTAACATAATGTTTGCGTTTTGGAGATGTCTCAAATACTAAGAATTCAGCATTTATTTGCATGCAACTCAAGGTAGTCCTATACACTGGAACATAGTAGGCACTCCCTGATATAAACAGGGATCATCAGTGGGTTAAAATAGTGTAGATTTAGTTTATGTCGTAATGACATTATCCCTATAAAACACTGAACTGTGAAGGGCTAACATAAACTGAGGCCTATTTGTTCAGGCTGAAAAATGAGGCTGCATGACAGTTTGGTGATAACACACGAGTTCAATCTGTCAAGACAATCAGCATTTAGACCTCGAGAGAAGAATGCGCGACTTGTGTGCGACCGATTCATTGGACACGATCACCTGCGAGTGAAGCCACTCATAATTCTTCCCACCTGAAATAAGGAGTTCAAACTAATGTCAGGCTGCTCTGATGTCATGCCTGCCTCGGGTTGGGTTTCACAATAATCTCAGGCTCTTGGAGAGATGCCATAGAGTCCAGCTTCCGCACCCAAGATTTTCTCCAATTAAATTGCAGGGGAAAGAATAACACGTGAAACACTAGATCCCTGCTCGTTTATAGAAATTAAGGTGGTGCATGCAGTATTTGCAATCAGTCATTTCTACAGTATCAGTCATCTCTATGAGGTGTACATATACATTGGAGGGGCCCCAAAGTGTGTTGAGGCCACTTTTGCTGAGAAATGTACCATTTTCCCCTATTATTAAGTCCCAAATAATAGATTCTTCTGCAAAATACTATGAAGATTTGACATTTTAAACAACAACAACTGGACAAAAGATAAGAGTGTGGGAAAGAGAAAGAAAAAGTGTATAGCATAGGTAGCCACAAGGATCAATAGACTCATTGAGCCTCTTTATCTTCTCCTTAAGGAATGATGGCAATACTCATTCTGAGCCCCCTCACCTCCCCGCTTTCTAACTCCATTCTCATGGCAACTGTGCACTCTGGACAAACACTCTCCATGCCATATCTTTTCTTCACTCCTCACCGTCTCCCCTGTATCTCCACGTCCTCTCTAGTTTTTCTATTCCGTCCCTCAGTCATTTATCTTTCACATCAGACCTGTGCAAGCTAAATACCCGACACTTCTGAAATGTTCATATGGAGTAGATCTGGACTGCATTCAGCCTTGTTATATTTTCAAGGTGTGATGGGTTTCATATGGAGCGTTCTCACCAGCAAAGGACTAAAGAAAAAAAGCTGGGAATATATATGTCAGGTGGGAAAAATATTTCCTCTGCGGATATAATGTGAGTACAATTCCGGAGTCTATTTAAAAACAGGACAGCTCCTAATCCGGGGGATCAGCAAAGGGCAGGGCGTCATTGGTCCATCCACTCCAATTTGCTCACAGCACGACACTATCAGACCCCAAACCAAACCTCATTAAATCAAAATATGGAAACTTGGGGAACTTCCAAAACTTCTAACTTCGCTGCCTCCTCCTTGCCTAAGTGTGAAGACAAAACAGTGGACCATAGAGAGAAGGGTGCATGAGGAACGGCAGCAGATTCTCGGGACTGAGAGCAAAAAGAAGGAAGAGAGGGAAAGTAAACCTTTGATGAGTAAGACTTTTTTTGTTAAGCGAGGGGGCTTAACTTTAAAATATTCTGGGTGGCAGTGAATGGGGGATTGACCAATGGCCCTGATCTCAGCCACACACTGGGGCACTGGGGTTAATGGTGGATAAAGATTAGAAAGAAGGGGTTGCTTTGCCTGATCTCCATCCACCCCCACACTCTACCCCGCAGTTTTCACCTTCTCCACCAATCCCAAATCAGCTAGACAATGGAGGCTGCCAATGGGGAATGATCCAAGTCCCTTTGATTTCTGCTTCTACCCCCTCGACTGCTCTGAGTGCCCAGGGTAAAGACCCGTGGAGGTTCCCCCTGTTTGCCCACTCACAGGGACGACAGTTAGCAGGCTCAGAGAAACCATTTGAGGATTGGAAATGGAATGACAAGAGGTCTCTGATCTATGACAAGAAATCAATTTCAAACTGGAAATGTGAGCAGAGGGCTGTTCAGTCCGAACTGCAGCTTCTTTAAAGCAGCCAAAGATATATTTAATTGCTGTAGATTTTTATATATGTCTACACAGGAAGTACAGCTTGCAGTGTTGGGGCAATTACACTTTTTTTTTGCAATGATTAGAAGGACTTTTTTAGGCCAGCAGATACGCAGTAAGAGTTCATCTTTGAAGATTTAACTGAATACTAGACAAATTAAGAAGTAATATTTAAATCTCTTTTAGGTGGGAAAGGAAATATGGACACTGCTTCACTCTGGAAAGATAGGACTCTTGGGGAGGTGGACCTTGTTCTGCAGCCAAGCCAGCATCTTTGCTCCAGCCTATATGCTTTAATCATATCTATACCGCAAAAGGCCCTACTTCATGATAGTGTGCTAAGATAAATAGATTTTCTCTCCCACACTGCGAGCAGAATATCTAAATCAACCTATGGCCTGGATTCAAATAAAACGGATGGCACTTTGTGGCTTCAAACCAAAAATCACCTACCTATATTAAGTCACTATACATTTCATTGCTCTTTTGAAATTTAGACAGACAGATTTAAATAATCGTTATGATTGAGTATTGTGTACTTGGAACATATCTATAGCAAATGATTCCATTTAAACATTTACACTCACACTCTCTCTCTCTCACACACACACACACACACACACACACACACACACACACACACACACACACACACACACACACACACACACCACTCTGTGGACCCAAAACTTGATCCTTCACTTTCATGTTTCTGTATATACTTCCAAAACAATAAAAGTTTTACTGTTCCTTCTCACCATCACTACCTAAAAGTATTTGGAAACGTGTGTGTACGTGTGTGTGTGCGTATGTGTGTGTGTGTTGTGTGTGTGTGTGTGTGTGTGTGCGCACACTCATGTGGCATGGATGCATGAGTATATTTGAAAGATCTAATCAATAGAATGGCCACAATAGACATGATGGAGATATAATTGGAGATTCCTCACACTCATTTGTGGTCTGACCTGGTGACAAACACCATCATATATCATTAGCTTGGAAAAGAGAGCTATCTTTGATTATGTCCACATTTTGTAGCACTACAAAGATGCTATCAAATAGTTGAATTTATTATATATTAACTGATTAACAGATAATATGTGTTATTACCAAGACATTTTGCTTCTGAGTATAAATGTTGCTGTATCTGAATTCAGTTACTACTGGAAAGTTACATGAATCTCCACACCCCAACAACTTTTTAAATGATTGCATTTTAATTGTAAAATTGTAAATTTTGCAAGAAGTTAGGTCCTCAACACCGTTTGTAATACTTGTGAAACTGTTTTTAAAGTGCTACTTAAAAAATACTTTCCACTGGGGAATAAAACTAAAATATGTACTAATAGGTATACTTTTCTCATACCTGGCTCTGCTGTTTTGTCATTTCAGCACCCAGGATTGTGTTACTCTAAAGCCAGACCCCACCAGCAGTTATGACTGATGTGGCTCATTACAGTGGACACATTAATCTGGGGGAAAAAAACATAACACCAGGCATGCAAGGACAATGAGAACTGCTTTCACTTACCACTTTGGACTTTACAGTGTGTGTCGTCTGCTTTCTTCTATGGGCGCAGAGTGCGCATATTTCATCCTAAAAAGAGAAATGGGGAAAATAGATGTTTGGACTGAAAATACGAGAAGTACATTGAACAAAGCTTCATTTCTGCTTTCTCTAGTTTATGTATAGTATAGAGTATTACAAACAAGGTACAGTAACATCAGGTTAGAGCCAATGTAACCCTGTTCGCTTTATTCTGTTATGTCCGGCTACAAATCTCAATCAAGACATCAACAAAATAAATAAAAAAGCCTGATATCCAAGCTTGCCCACATTTGTCCACCATAATGCATATCATAACTTCTAAGTTAGAGTAGATTGAAAATCTTTGGGGTGTGAAAACCAAACAGGCACAACTGAAAGGTTGACCAGTGGAGGGGGAATTCTATCAAGGTGGGCAAGATGAAGATTTGTTACATTTGAGGGGGGAATGAGGCCCCCTTGACCTCCACTAGCCACTACAATCACCCAAACTCAGTGAGGCCAACACCACAACCAAAGACACGGTTGGTGTCTTGACAAAAAACAAAATGAGTTCATCATTTTTATTCAAACAATAAAAAGATTGAGTTTTGCTTGGAAAGATGAATGATCTTGAGAATACACTGTAGGTTACTGTTAATTTGAACACTGATCCTTGAAAAGACACTGTTAATGCTACTCTAATCTTTCTCAAGGTTAAGGATTCTTCTGACAGATGGACATGAAGGGCCCATGTTCAAATACTTACCCTTAGGGAGAGAACTTGCTATTGTTGTCCGTCACAGGAGTGGAAGGAATCCAGCGATTTCAGCTATCTGAGATAAGACAAAACAAGTATAACATTAGTCCAAATGTATTCATGAAGTGCTGATCTCTTTTTATGTTTCTCGGCACATTCAGTGCTGGTGGGAACATGTGTGGACTAGATTGTGTCTTACATAACTATTGTCTGTGTATGGCTTGTAGGTGAAAGCAATAAACTTTGGAACAACAAAGTGCACCTGGATTTTGCTGTGAAGCATGAGAGCATATATGTGTGTGTGTGTGAGTGCATGCACAAACAGGCCGTACAGTACAGTACAAGCTACAGTTCCCCCACCACACACACACACACACACGCGCTGCGCACTCTCTCTCAAGTTAAAAGGTGCAGTGCCTGGAAGGCTCAAGCTCTCAACGCCAAGTAAATCACACTGTTAACCTGACACGATTGATTTCTCATGTAGGTCCATTCAGCTGTCTGCATCTAAGTACACATGTTATGGCATCCGTATAATTTATAGACCATTAGTATTGATGATTTTTTTTGTGTTAATTACACAACTACAGCTGGAGTGTACAATACCACAACTGCAGCTTCAGATTTCTCTGGACATTTTTACTGCACATACATCACATAGAGCAATAAGGGAAAAAAATTAATTCCCCTCATTGAAGAGCATTGTGGAGGCAAATTTCTGCTGCTGGGGGCATGAGGGGCACAAAATGGTCTGGATGTTCCTCTCTAAGATTTTTTTTTTCTCCCTTTTATTCTCCCAGAATTCCAATGACCCCTACAGGCAACCAACGACTGCTGAATCCTAAGGAATGTGCTCTCTGAACTGTACAAAAAAGCCCTCAGCTCAAAGAGCACAGCTGAAAACAAAACATGCCAACTGCTATAATTTTTCACTGTTTTGAGTTTGTGGAAAACGTTGCACAGATTGCCGTGCAACATTTACTCAAAATGGGGTGAGAGGGTTTCAGGTGGGGGTGGGCACCAAACAATGCACTGTATGCTGGGAAAATAGACATGAAAAGGTTTGACAAGTTTAGACAAATAGAGCATTATATAATCATAGAACTAAATTGTATTGTGTACGTACAAAATGAAAATACAAAAAGTACAGTTCTATGTATATAAAGTAATAAGATGAACAAAACATTAATGAGATTTTGCAAAAAGCCTTGTTGCATGGAATGACTAAAACTGTCAACCTTAGAGTTAAGTAAAGAAAAACAAATAGTTTTAAATATAATTTAGATATAAAACATCATCTCAAGTTAATGCCCATTTACTTCAAATTATGTGCTGCTGAGTAGACCTCTGGGCTGTGCAGATGTCATATTTTATTCACTGGAAAAGCATTAGGAATGCTATTAGTCTGTATGACCTCCAATTCGTGGGGATTTACAAATACCACACATATCTTTATGCCAAATATAAAACCACTGGTAAATTCTATCAACTTATAAATATGGCAAATGCATTCAAGTATTCATGAAGGCCTAATAATGCTATAGGCTGATATTTACATAAAGCGCTTGTGCACTAAGTCAAGATAAACTATTTAAGACCCGCACCACAAATACCTCCACACTGCAGAAAAAGGAGGGTCCTGCGATGAAAGAGGACATTATGCTAACAAGTCAGATTACTGTACACAATAACTTTATCTTAAAAGTAAATACCATCCTTGGTGTTGGAAAGTGGGGGGGGGGGGCATTATGGAAAGTCACTGGCAATATTTCTGTGGGGACCAAATGCTCCTTATCAGTGTTAGTCGAGCAATTCAGGCCCGCCCGAAGAAAGATGAGTCTTCAAACTCATTCTATTCATGGTCAGACGTGTAATTACCCTCAGCTCACAGTCTAGACGTAACCGCTTTCACAGTATTTAAGACCCCCTATGCAACGCGCGGACGCTAGCTCCTACCACCGAGCCCTGCACGTTAAATCTGTGGGCAGATAAATTAGCGAAGAATGCAATAAAATAGACACAATGAGAGGAACTTTATCCTCCCCGCTGCTAAATGAGATTTCTTTGAAATGCAGATCAGTGGCTCTAGATTAGTGAATTTTAGCTGCTGTCAACATCATAACAAAATACAAATGCGATTGTTCGCTGGTGCCTTATCTCCTTGCTTCCATCTGTTGGCTGGTTATTTACTCCCCCCTGATTTACTATGCAGATCTAAATAAGTCGCATCAAAAGGAGGGCTTACTGCACAATGCCTTCTTAAGCTTCTACATCAAGGTATTTGAAAAACCGGTAGTCACATGAAAAGGCTGCCCATCAAAGGCACATCTCTAATGAACTCTCCCATATCAGAGGGGGCTTGTGGGGCCTGGCTTTAATGCTGTCTGTGTGGAGACAGAGGAGCAGAACTACAAATCAGACCCACCAAGCCATGGCGGAGAAGGGAGGAGGAAGACGGAGAGGGGGGAGAAAAGGGAGGAGAGGGGGGAGGAGGAGGAGGAGGAGGAGGAGGAGGAGGAGGAGGAAGGCCTCAGTTATCAGATGAGATTAGCTCAGCACAGGGACTAGTCCAGGTCTTTCCATACATCCATCTAACTCTTAGGTTTAGGCTGAGGAAGGCACTCTACAATAAGACGACAATAGCACTAGATTAGAAACAGGTTACAATGGATTAGACTGGACTCATGCTAGACAACTACAAAAATTCAACTTGCAATTTCAACGTAAAGCAACCACCTTCAAAGTTACTCTAAATGCAGCGTCCTTAAGGCTTTTTATACAACTCGACTGCAAATTAAAGTGTATTAATAAATATCTGTCAAAAAATGACAAACCAATCCAGTTCCAAGAGGGAGAGGGAGACGCTTGTGCTGTCAAAAACAGGAAAGAAAAGCATACCCTACTGCTCCCCCTTTCTCATTCTCTCTGTCTGCAAACAGCTTTGGTAATCTTGAACAGAGCTTTTGCATTACGCTCCTGCAATAACCTTTAATTTCATGGTGTATTTGTTGCATTCACCGCACAGGCCGGATTACAACCGACAATCTTCAGACTTATATGGGGAAAATAAACTGCATGGAGAGATCATGATCTGTACGCCCCCCCCCCCTTACCCCACCCATCGCCATCATCACCGCCACCATCCTGCTTTGTAGCAGTGTGTCTGGATGAAGGGGAGACCCCCGCCAACAAGCATGCAGTTTACCAGTGAACAATTAGCCCCGGAGCAAGAGCAGGCCCGGCACTGGCACATGTGGTTAAGAGGCGAGCGCTGCGGGAGAGCGCCAGATGATGATGGGACGAGGATGGGAAGGGGAGGAGGAGGACGCTGAGGTGGGGGGGGAGGGGGGTGGCGTGTGCCAGACACGCGTGTGCTGAGTTTTTGGCTACTGGGCAAGTCCTTCGTCATTCACTTACAGCTAGTCTTTCCAGAGAAGATAAAGGCTGATAATGAGAGGGGGAGTTACCCCCTTTCACCAGTTCCAAGACAACTTTGACAGAATTTTAGGAACCCATCCAGATTGAGCTGTGATGTGAAGGCATCTGATGGCTGAGTCGCTTCGCTATGGAAACCCAACTTCTCGTCCCTCCCCTCACCCCGCCTCAAGCATCTCTCTGCAGTGTAGCATGCCAACTGGGCCCAGTGCCAGTCGCATTTGCAACCACAAGGGACCCTTGTCTTTTTGCCTTGCCTAATGAAATGACAAAACAACAGATTTGCATATGCAGAAACAGGTGTTGTAACAGGTTTGACTCTGCTTGACCCAAGCCGTGTTAAAGAGAGAAAATGCAGAGAGAGGAAAAAAAAAAAAAACATGCAGGGGAAAAAAGAAAAAAGTTTATGACCAACAGCTGCCTGGAGGTATTTAGGCTCTAATGGGCACTCAAGTTTGCACCATCTGCCCTGCTGCTTGCCAGAAGTGACAATCTAAATTAAAAACCACTCATCAAAATATCATAAAAATAAACCATTGTTTTGCTGCCTCCATATGTTGTGGCCATTTTATTTCGTTGTCGGAGAGTAGTATCGGAGGCTGAGCTTTGAGGCCTATAGCTGTGATCCAGGGAAAATCCAGAGAGCCGCACAGTAGCCTGTAATTACCCTCCCACCGATCCGCTGTCTTCAGACCAGAGCCCTGCGTCATCCTACACATTATCCAAGTCCATCCTCTCCACATTACAGAGGAGAAAAACCTAACGGAGCCAATGTGGTGAAAACATGGTCATTGTTTAGAGTAGGATAAGAGGTTGCCATCCAAGAGCACAAGCTGGGTGTTCAGATGGTAAAAGGAGATAAAATCACTGCACTATACTTGCTTCTAACTAGATAACTGCTATTATCTTTAATGCAAATGTGTATTTGCCCTGCCACAAACAAAGATTGTGGTGTGTGTTGCTGTGAAGCAACCCAAATTTAAAGTGATGCATTTCTGGAAATGTCAAATGTCTCCCCTCCACATTTTGACCAAATTATGACCTGACCCAAAGGGCTCGACTAGAAATATTCCTTTTGTCCTTTACTGAAAGACACAGATACTGTACAACACCCCTACCCGCCAAACCCCACTCAACACTGCCGCCACCACCCAACCCCCCACTTTCATTTTTCCCTCCTGTTTTTATTTAGATGAGTGAGACAGAAGGAACAAACCTGAGACAGTCGTGACCCTGTGCGAGTGTTGTAACTTGGTCTAGAGCTACGCCGGCAGAAGGCAGCACCATATGCCCTCAGCCTCGAGCTGGATGCTCTTTCTGCAGCCTAATGTGCCTGTCAAAAAATGTTACTGTCACGAATCCCCCCCATGTTTTTTTTTCCTCTCACAACATGTTTGAAATAAACATTTTTTCCTCTTTCTCTCTGTGTCTCTCTGGGTAAAGAAGAAAGGTCCTTGTGTGAGGTAAGGTAGGCTGGATGCAGTAACTGTTTGTTTGTATTTCTGACCTGGATACAGCTCATGAACGCAGTCTATGGCTGAATTAAAAACTAATGATTTCTTTCTACATCATTACTCTGGCAGTCAATTGGGAGACATTACTCAGGTTGAAAGTAACCAAAAGGAGTGCTACTTTTTTTTTTTTTCCTTTTTCCTCATTTTACTGACAAATGTGCATCTTATCTATCACACCACTAATAATCAAATGATGCTATCATTACTAAAATATGTCTTAATAAAAAGGCCCTTTTAAACAGTGGTTGAGTTAGCTACCACTGTTAACCTCAGTGCTGTCTCGCATGAGGTCCGACTGTTTACGAGTGACAGGCTCACGGCTAAATGTGGTCTGAGCAACAGTGACCTTGCCTTTTACCATGAGCGACCCTCTATCTTTAATTCAGGGCAAGACCCCAAAACCCAACACATTTTTTCACACCAGGACACTGTCCATCTGACCGTGACTTGAATAAAAGCTGTCATGCCTTCACACCACACTGACCAGCAAGTAAACATGCAATTGTTAACTCAACGAGGAAAAAAACTGAAGGCAGAAAAAAAAACAAGCAAGGTTCTGAGGCTGCTGCCGGTGTACTGTGATTCAAATGAGAGCATAGTTTATTGGATAAACAGACTGACAGGTCAGCTAGTGTTACAGGCCAAGCTTGTGGCAGCTTGGAGTGGCAGCTCAACGGGGGACTATTAACTACAAGGTCAAGACTATGGTGCCAAGAGGCATACATTATTTTACATAGCTTTAAAGAAATACTGTGTACACAAACCAAATGTTTGTTTTATAACTTAGCATGCATGTCCCTTTCCATTTCAGAATCTGAGACACAGTGAGGTTACACGAAACCAGCCAAAAGCTACTTGGCTTTTGGCTGGGTCATTTGTTTGTGGCTTTATCCTTGGAGGGAGGTATGATGACGTAAGATGTAATATTTGCAAAACAATCTTTGCGAGATATTTTGACACTTGATTGTTTTGGTCTGAGTAAATATATAACCCTATAGTCTTTTTAAACTTGGCCAAGCAAACATGAAACCCATAAAAATAAACCCCAACATGTGACTATGAACTGAGATGGTCCGAGTGAAAAAGTAAGTTACTTACTGCCTCTTTTCTTCAGATAGTTCTTAACTCACCCTTCTGTGGGCAGCCTGCAATCTCCTTTTATAATCCTCATCCCCCTGACCCCACCCTGCACAGCTTTCTCCGGCCAAAGAGTCACAATGTTTCTCGCTCACAACAGCGTCGAGTCGGGCTTAAGAAGTGACCCAGAGCGTAACTAAAAAAGTCTGAGCTGTCTCAAGACTCTTAGTAACTGTGGCACACAAAACATCATTACTGTGATGTGGATAATTACAGTGCAAAAGGGTGGCCTCTTAAGCATGTAATACACTCTTTTATCTTAAGAAGTCAATCTCTCCGAGTCTGACAGCTTGCAGCATATGATCCTGGTAAACAAATACTTTTGAGCGGCACAAAAGTGCCATTAAAGGCCAAAACTGTCAACACAAATTCCATTCTTACAGGGGGAGGTAGGGGGAGGGAACCAAAGTGGGAGGGGAGGAGGGGAAAAAAGGACTTGATCACTTCTGGTTGCTTTAACTTGCATGGAGGTTGTCATGGAAACATTTCTATGAAGTTAGCAGGGATAAAACCTGAACATTTGCCATTTAATTGCCTTTAAGCTAGGTAACAGGGCCAAGTTAGCTACATATGAAAACACACTGTGTATGTTAACGTGGATGAGCTCGGTAAGATGTTTGGAAAAGTGAAGCTGGTGCACCACTCCCTTGATTTTCTTACCCGTTCCCCCCCATATGCAGCAACACCTCAAGGGTTGAGCGAGCAGTCTGTTTCATTACAGAGGTGTTGGGGGATGGGTGATGGTGCAATTCAAAAGCTAATCCAAAAGTGAGCAAGTGTTTCATTGCCTAAGAAGTAGTCTGACTCAAAACAGAATTGATGTGATCTGTGCATAAAACCCACTTTCTGGATTCTGGCTCTAAATTTGTCATTTTGCACACATTTAGCCTGTATCGTCAGCGTGAGCAGCTTCTGCATTCACAGCAAATGCACACAAAGTTTTCACAGGACTCTCAGAATTACAAATAAATTGCACAGCATTTTCTACTTCAGCTCAGCTGGAAGCAACAATTTCCATATCTAAGATAAAATCATGCATCAACCGGTGTTCACTGAGCTGAAAGCTGAATCTTAATTTTGATAAATGATTGAAACGTATGACAGGGTATACACATTAATCCTGTGGAGGACATTCATTTTCCTATTACCATAATGTAGAGCACGACCGCCCGATGATAAATGCAGCAATCAAAAAACGGACGCAGAGTGGGGAGAGTCGGGGTAATAAGTGCACTGCTCCCAACAACGGTCAGTCTTGGAGGGAGACTAATGGCAAGTTTCTCCCCATCTCTCCCTTTGCCTCAGGAAAGAAAATGCACCCCGTTTTACAAAAAAAAAAAATCAAGTGACCTTGTAAACACACACCAAGTAAACAAGAAACTCCAGACTATTTTAAACATGCTTTCGCAAACGATTACAGGGGGCACCCCAACAAAGGGGCTGATTGTGCACTGTCGCTGACATATTTCACAAGGGGCATTTATTGCCGCCTGGCCCTTTGAAGAGTGAGAGCTGCTGAGTGAGAGGGGGAACTGGCCCACACCTGCATAACTGAGGAGGGAACACCTGTGCACCCTGCGGCTTGAACAAGGAGGGTCGATCCAGCTAATCCAGGGGTGAAAGCTGATCAGAGGACAGGCCCCGAAGAGTTCAGCAGCTCCCACTACCTTGTTAGCCTTTCTTTACCCCCCCCCCCCAAAAAAGTTTCATCTATTGATTTTTGGGCCACAGTGATTGTAAGAGAACAGTGGCAAGATACAGAGAAGTGAAATAGAGGAACTCAGCAGAAGCTTTTTAATGAGCTGTTTAGCTTAATCAGTTAGAATCTGAGGTCAATCATTATGAAAACTAACATCCCTGTTTGTTTCTGGACAAGGAAAAAATGGAGCAAGCAAGCACGGTAAGGTGTTGACTGCTAATAATCATAGATACTGAATATGCAGATAAAGCATTGGTAATTCTACTTACAGCCTATGCTTTAAATCTGGTTGCATTTTTATTTTTTAGTCTTCAGGCATTGAGCTTAAGAAACTGTGACAACGGTATTTTAAAAACATGGGCACTGATTGGGGGGGAAAAAAAGCTTTTAAAACTATATGCAACCACTCTTGTGTCACAGGTGATAATAACATGTCTACAACACTAAAGGAATTTTAAAGATTACTAATCCTTGCATATTTGACAAATGAGAAAAATAAACCGGCATATAGATTTAATATGTGATATACATATAACAAGTTGTGTTACACATAATTATTCCACTTTTTACTTATACGTAAAGCAACGACCAATTAAAATAGATAGTGTAAATAGTCAAATAATTTCCAATGACATTAACGCAGATATAATCTAACATTATATGTTGTTAAAGACGGCTATAGATCAAATCAAAATCTAAACAGGGCACAGTACATTTATGAACAGAATACGCTTTCAAATTAGTTTTCAAATATGTCATTTATCACTAGGTGGTAAATTTAAATTTGTTTTTAGGCTCCATTTCGCGTGCAGTATTTTTAAATTGAATTAGCGGCTGAAACAATATGCAGGTAGGAAACAATGAGTCGGCTTTTCAAAAGTCAGCGTTCAGCGTTCAGACCAGGCAGAGTGCCGGGCAGTGCTGTCTGAAGGTCCTCACATGAAAAAAGCCCAACACCGTGCTAAGGTGAAATATGTTAACAGCTGCTCGGTAATTAAAAAGCACGGGGCAAGTCCACGCGCAACGTGGAAATAATAATGTTTTGCAAGTCAAGTCTCAAAGCGCGAGATAACGCAGGACAAAACTTGTGTCCGGCGGACCACTTCCTAATTTAACAGCACTGGACAAGAGAGGCAAGGAGGGGGGGAAAAAAAAGTCAAAGAGTACGGAGAGAGAAATAAGCTCTTGGGCAGAAAAACTTACCACAAAAAATGGCAGGTATATTTCCCCTCACGGTAAAAGTCAAAGGGACACACCAGGTGAGAAGTCGTCGTCCTCTATACTCGCAGAGATCTTCACACGTGACTGTCCAAGTTCACCATAACGCAGAGAAAATGAACAACAAGCTGCAGAGTAAATAAAAAAAGCTTAAATATTCCTCCGCTGGGCACCACTGTCGGAGACACACACACACTCTCTCCTGCTGTCTCCCGTCAACGCCGCTGTTATTACTAATGCAACAGAGGGAAAAGCAGTACACTGAGTCCTGTTTGAATGACGCGCAATGCGAGGAAAGACGCGGCTTGTTTTTTTTTCGTTACGATTCAAACACACATCAAGCTGTATCCCAGCAAGCAAGTATATTTGGGACTAGAAACCCCCCCAGGGGAGGCACTTGCTTGTGCGCGGAGGTGGTGTTGTTATTTTTGGGCGTACTGCGACCCCGTGTGACGTCAGGGCCACCTGCTAAACAAAAAGTGTTTTTTAAAAAAGTTTGTTTCCTCTTATTTTATTTTTTATTTTTTGCCCCCGCAAAACAGTCCGGTATTTTCTCTAACAGCGGCCGCTTGTGTCGGAGGGTTCAGCGTCTTGTGTTAAGGAAAGCTTCCACCACGGTCACACATTGTTGTTGACTGAACCGGTGAACCCCTCCAATAACGGGACGGTCCCTCCGACCCAAAGATAAGTGCGCCCGTTGCGATGGAGATCACTAAGAAGTCACTTTATTGCAAATACATCCGCAAGTGGGAACTAGCCTGTGTAATTCCCCCCAAAAAAACAACAATATATATTCCGATAATGTTCCTGTAATATTCCAACAAGAACTCCTACTTTTTCCTGTGGTTATCCTACTCCATACCGACCACACAGTGACCGACATCAAACGCTATTTCCCCCTTATTAATCTTTAAGATATTCTTATTAGAACTTGTGTTTTTCCTGTGATATTTGTGTTGTAAACTACGCCGTATGAAGGGAATATAGAGCCAAATCATTAAAGCGGAGAAATTACATGGGTGCCAAATTAAAGACAACATTTGTGTAACATCTGTAAATATCATCACCAGGCAACAAAATAGACTATAGCTCCGGCGTGTAAACTGCACGTTCAGTATCAGTTATAGCCACACATTTTAAATTAGCTTTAAAGTTTAAATACATTTGACATAGACCTCATTTAATAATCAGTTTGCAGAGAAAAATAGACTTATTAATAGTCGTCTAGAAGTGTGTGCATACAGTAAAATGATGGGTAGCCTATAAATGTAAATATCTTACACATTATTAATGTTATTATTTTAGCAATGCGCAATTATGCGTTTAAATTCTGAAATTCAGCAAATAAAATAACTTCTAAATAAATACTTTATTACCAAAAAAGAAGATATAGTAAGATTCACTGTTTGACTGAAGGAATTTTTCTTACCCATTCTGTCATACCTTCACAAGATAATTTAACCTGTTTATTCATTTAAAAGTAGATCCGAAGCCAGTCGTACATTGAGCAGTAGTTAAAATGGTTTGCTTTATTCTGTCTCGTCTTTCTTTTCTTTTCTTTTTTTTATTTTTTCCAAACCGCTGAGATGTTCACGGTCAAGAAATGAATGACCAGATTATTATCAACTGAAGAAAAGAAAGGGGGGGGCAAGTTTTTTAAACATGTAAGACACGCGAGAAGTCCTATCTTGTCTCATGCTATCTGCTGTCAGCGTTTTAAAATGCTTTATTTTTATGTTATTTATACCATGAATGACTTATTGTGAGAAATGTGATTTGTGCATGCATAAGAGGCTTATATGTATTTTTTTTAATGAAAGAATCACAGCTTGCAGCCGGTGTGTCATTACTGCGTATGCCAGTGAGAATTTAAATTGCCTTAATAAAGCATAGATTTTTTTTATTGACTAAAAACTAAATACTCGAAATCTTCTTTTTAGTTATTATTGTTCATATAAATATTATGGGGGAAACCACTACTTGTAAATCTATTATCCCACATTGGTGCACAGACATCCTGTATATCCTGTACTGGTGTCACACAGTACACCCAAAATGTCCTAAAATTGGCCTAGCTTTATATTAAAAAAAATTATATTTGATGTGATTGTGATGTACTTATGTGAAGTATTGTCCAAGTTGAAAATATTGACCAGACACATCACATTGCTTACCATGCAGTCATATTGGTCTGTTAGCTTTCTGAGTTTTTTGTGTGTGTTACAGATCCTAATTGCTATTAAAAAACCTAACAAATATAAGTAGAAGCAAACAGCATCTGGGAAGTGATGAGGATGGGAAGGGAAAACAAGTATCACGGAATTGTGGTGGTATGCTGCCACCTACTGGTCAATTCTAATAACAGCCTGTCCATGGTAACACATAAGACAATGGACTAGATGTAACACTTGGTAAGTTTTCTTATGTCCCCTTTCCCTCTATATTGAATATTTTTCTCTAACACTATCTGCACACTTGGGATGCATTATCACAAAAGAGGTGCAAACTGAAAATGCGAATTAATTTGGCTTAGGTGTGGATTAATCTGTCTCGTATTTCACTCTGATCACATAGTGCCATCTACTGATATACATCAGACATACAAGTAGTCTTGATAAATTCAAAAGGTCGACAAAATACTATTAAGACAATTAAAGAGGTGCTGATTCATTTCTGCTGGTCAGCAGTTTGTTGTGTAAGTTGTTCCTAATATTTTGTCCATGTCCTTTCTAAATGTGAATAAAGTAACATTTAATAAGAGAATAACTAAAAAGTGTGTGTGAATGATAGCTGCTTAATTCTTTTTGGTTTAATTATTACATTCTTCCAGACTGCATGCATTTGGTGTTGACAGTATGATAAATTCTGCTATTTAACAATTCATTTCTTCACTTGTATATATCTGCCTTTAAAATGGTTGCAAATGAGAAGCTCTGATACTATTTAAAGACCAAAACTGCAATTAAAAAGTGAAAAGAGAACCTCTTCGGCTTCAAAACCTAGAACAAAAGGTCCTTTGAGGACAAAAACCCACTCACCTACCTGTGAAGGATTGTATAACCAGCACTAAAGTTTATTTACAAGATCTACTGGATTTTGGGGTATAGTTACACTGAATATCAAGGATTAGTTGAACTTCCTATCCGAGACGGTGGCACACACAAACTCAGTGTTACAAAGAACAGAATCATCTTCAATCTCCTGTTCCGAGATGCAGTGAACCTTAAAAATAAAGGCTGCTTCCAATGTAATGATAGGAGAGGATCTGTAGATACTCAATCTAGATGCCAACACTTGCTTAACACAGAGGCCTTTCAAGCACAGTGACAGAACTAGTAATCCTTTGAGACATTATTGATTTGAATGGGGAAATTATCTCCTTTTGGTGGTTTTTTTTTGCAGTCTGCACATGGAGGTCAGAATCAGCTCCAGACCTGCTGCAGGTAAGGTGACATTGTCTTGGGGACCCTTAGCAGACACAAGTAAACTGTGGCCCTACGCAATGCAGCATCCTACAAGTTAGTTGCTGATAGGTAACATTGTAAAATCCATAACTGAAGAGAAAACAGTTACACTCACAGATCTATGAGGCTGAACTGTACTATATGTATCCTTACACAGCTGTATATAGAGCTACATGCTAACATATACATGTCAACATGCTCACAATGACGAAGGGGAAATGCTGACAGTTACCATGATCACCATCTTAGTTTTGCATGTTAGCATGCTAACATTTTTCTAATTAACATTAAACACAAAGTTAAGTATGAAGGGAATGTAATTAGTTTTGCAGGTATTGGTCATATACTAAAATACTGAACAACTTTGGCCTGATGATGGTGTTAGATGAAAAGTGAGGGTATCATCAAAGTTACATTTTCAAAACACACACAGCCCTAACCTGAAAGTTGCTGGCCATTAATAAAAACACAAAAAATATGCAACAAAATTAAATATTTCCATCAAACACAACACTGCTGCACTTTGAACTTTTTTTTCACTTATTTGAGATGTCTTGTTGAAATACTTAAAAAAATAGACATTCTAAGAAAGTTTTCTTCATTCATTTTATTCGTATTCTCCCATTGACTGTCACTGACCTACAGTAAACACCTAGACTAGACAAATTCAGACGTTTGTACCAGTATACAGCTTTTGTACTACATTCTTTTATCATCAAAGAACCGATAAAGAATGTCACCCATACTCAGAAACAAAACATTTTTATTGTACTGCATAAGACTTTTCCATGTTATTCTTTTTGGCTGAACAGCAAGGCCAACCCTATAAACACAAACGTCTGACTGACTGCAAACTCCTCTTCCTCAGGCACTTCTGTCATGGCCTCTCACTGTTCTTACATGCCTTTGGCCTCTTTGATCCATGCTTGGAAATAGCAACACGCAGGGGGCATCTTTTATAGACGGATAAGGACTGTTTGCAGATTGAAGAGTCGTGCAAGGGAGTTTCACACAGGTGCATTAGAGATTCTTAATTATGCAAGTAATTTCTATCAGCTGTGAATAGCTGTTTTCTTTTTGTTTAACACAGTTAAACCAATTGAGTTTTGAGTATTTCTATGAGATCTGTGTTAACTGTTCGCAAAGTGTGAAACCAATGAAAAAGTGTTCACACATTTGGAAGAGGAGACTTTTGCTGCGCTAAGAAGGTGATGATGAAGATCAAGTGGAGCCCAGTTCCATTAAGCGTGTCTTAGCAAGTGAGAAAAAACTGTAATTCAGATATCAATGTCTGCATAAAATTAAATGGCAATCCAACTAACAGTTGTTGAGATATTTCAATCTGGAGCACAGTGGAGGACCAAGTGACTGAATGATCAACAGCTGACATTGCCATCCATACTATACAGCTAGTTGAGTTGACAGAAAACATCTTTTTATATACTTTATATTTAAAGAAAAATAGATTTTCCTGAAGCACTTAAAATAGACATTATTTTCAACAATTAATTTGTGAGCATTTGTGGAAATGTGAAATGCAAATATTTCCAAACCCTGCACACATCAGGTAAGAATGTCTGCTGTATTTTTATTCAGTATCCAGTGTAAGGTCAAGGTCAAAGGTAAGCATTGTGGGTGTGCATAGTTGAACTGTTTTTTGCTACCCCTGTATAAAACACAGCCACATCCCCATTAGCAGACATGATAAATGGTGAATAGGAAAACTAGGGGGGTTCAGACAAAGTAACCAGGGAAGTAAATAACTATGGTATGTATCCATATAAGTAATTATACAGTACATTATGTAGGTAGGCCATTTTAAATAAAACAAAGACATGATAAAACAAGCAAATAAAAGCAATAAAGTATCGTTCAAGCTAACGAATATGGCTAATCCTGACAGAAGCACTGCATCCATCTGGCTTAAAGCTGTCCAGCTGTTTATTTACATGCATAGATTAGGTCACATGGAAATGAAATGATGTGCAATCAAGAAAGAAAACACATTCACAATGTAAAAGAGAAAGCAGGGATACAATATATGGGTATAAAGTACATGGCCTTCACAAAGTTTTGAACATGCAACCACATGGTTACACAACAGTCTCTGTTATCATCTGGCCACCATGCTGACCAGAAGACACAGTATCATACTATTA